TGTATGTGAAAAGTGTGTGTATATGGATATTGATGTATATGTGTGGATATGTGCTTATATATTTTTTTTATTTTTATATTTTTTATATGTGTGTACACGTATGTATGTGTGTGTGTAGGTACACGCCTGTGTGGATGTATATACATGTATATGTTATTGTGTGTATTCACATGTGTCTTTGAACATAGAAATATAGGTCCTTGCTGGATTAGAAAATCGTTATATTTATCTTCATATATTTATATTTGATTTGTAACCTGTAGTCGATATTAAATTTGTCAAATTTTCTCAATTACAAAGCGGCCCTTTAAGTAAACGCAATTTTACTTTCCTTCGTCCCATCTCTCCCCTACCTCCTCTTTCCCTTCCCCTCCCTATTATTCTAGCATTAAATTGTCGATGGTGTGTGTATGTCACCACGAAATGTATCTTTATGCATTAGACATCCGTCGACATTCATTCTCTTCTCTTATCTAAAACCCTCCCCACCACCTCTCCTAAAATTCTCTCTGTTAAGGTTCAATCTCCCCCCTCCTCATATTTACACTTTTTCTAAATTCTGTTTTCACTTCCGGAGTGGTTTTTTCTGTTTTCATTTTGAATTTGTAGGTCTGATGAATTGGATCGTATTTACGATTCCAATGGAATAAATTATGACCATGGAATATTAGTGTTTTAAGCCTTTTATTATATATATATATATATATATATATATATATATATATATATATATATATATATATATGTATGTATGTATGTATGTATGTAAGTACCCAAGTACCCATGTTTATCAACGTTTGTTAATGGCTGTGTGAGCGAAGGAGAGTGACTGATATGCATTCTGATGCATGGAATGCGAATACAGTTGGGCAACCATAAGAACAATTCGCTTAACGATCAAATTGAAAAACGAAATATTTTGTTTCTAAGAAAATTAAATTCGACTGATTCGAACACTCAAAACGCGAATAGATATTGATGCGTGTAAGTGGATGAGGGCGTTTTCACTACAGTCCTCAATCGTAAGGTGTGAACTTAGGTTTAAAATTTCATGCTTTACATTGAAAAAAATATTTTTAACATAATCATGGATCGGCAGAAACGAATAAGAATATCAATTATCATTATAGAGGAAATAATTTTTAAACATGAAAATGGAATAAGTGTGAGTGAACTTAGTTTTGAGTATGGGATGACAAAATTAACAATCTCTAAAAAAAAAAAAATTATATAAGGATGAATTAAAAAGTGTTCAGATGGCTAAGGGAATAACCAGATTAATTTATTTTATCCAATTTTATTAAAGAAATGGAGAAAATTGCTTTTAGTGTGGATTAAAGAAAAATAAATTGCGTTGATGATATCAGTGAATCGATAATTTATGCAATGTCCAACCAGTTGTTTGGTAATGAGTTAATGTTCCTAAGTGATAATTACAATGTCGGATTTTTTTTGACTTTACTTTATTACTGCATTTATTAATTTGCTCTATATTTATGTACATACGTATGTATTTGCTATTTAATTTGTGTATTTTCCATTTTTTGTGTGCTTTTATGCGTAGTTTGTGTTTCAATTACTCACGTAATAAACAACTTAGTGAACGAACGGAACTCCAGAACAGATTACATTCGTAGAAACCCCTTTCTATATTGACAATAAAATAAATAAATATCCGAGATCATACAATGTATGTTTTTATATTGCAATGTATATGTTCATGTGTATGTGCACGTGTATTCCCGTGTTTATGTTTTAAATCTGTCAAACCAAAACTTCTTGCTCATAAAAAAATATTTCATCTGGATCCTAACTTTCGGAGAATATGAGAGTTTCATTATCGCCATCGTCACATAAGCACTTTGAATATATATATATATATATATATTTATATATATATATAAAGAATATGTATAACAAATAATCACTGTGAGTGTGTGGATATGAATTATAAACAGCAGAATACTTATGTGAACACATTTCATTGTCTATTGAATAAACTTCTCACTTACGAGGGAGTGCTGAAAAGTTCTTGGTTCGACCCACTTCCCAAAGTTCGATGACTAAATATGAAAACACTGATTTGGGGAAGTGGGTCGGGCCGAGAACTTTTCAGCGCCTCTTGTATATCCTCCGTTGTTTGCTTCCTTCCTAATGAAAGAAAAAAATTCCCTGGCGGCGTTGGTGGTGGCTGTGGTGTTGGTGGTTATTCAAACAGGTTAGCCTACCTACCCATGAATAATAATAACATTTGCCCAGGTATTTATGTCGATTGTCGTAAGCGAAGACAAGGAAGAGGCTATCTGCCCAGTCGACAGGCAGGGTCTCAAATTTCGAACATTATTATTATTGCTGTGATCATCTTTCAGGAACATGGATCGGCCAAGCTCACTTGGTCGACTAAGAAGAGGATATCAATTTGGAGTTTACCTCAGAAAAGAATTGATTTTGAAAGGGACGATATGGATAATTTATTTGTTACAGTTAACAACAGCTTTAGGTATGTAATAATCTTGGACAAATAGATAACTCAAACTGGTAAAGAAAAAAATTGCTTTCAATTTTAAAACTTTATGTGTTTGTATGCTAATATTTTTGTATAACTTGAAAGTATTCAATGACAAAATATTTTAAAATCACGAGCCTAATTATTTTTTTTCTTTAATGAATGATAAGCCGAGGAATATGCCCAGCAAAAGAGGAATGAAGTGAATTGATAATTTTTTTATATAAATTGCAAATTGTTAAGAAAGTATTAACCCGAAATTGTTACATTAAACCTAATAACGTTTTTAAACCAAATTCTACGATACACGCTTGGAAATAGCGATTGATTAATGAAAGATTAATAATGTTTAATTAAAAAAGAATAAACTTAAAGGGTGTTACTGTAAAAGGAAAATAGATGGAAGGTTAGTTGGAAAATGACATAATAGATAATTCATAGAGCGGGAAAATAATTAAATAATTAATTGGCTCTGAGTAGATAAAAGTTTGAACAAGTTTATTTCGGTCAGATATTAAAAATTACATTTTGAAAATTAGACTTTCGCACAAATCTACACGCGCATCACATCATTATTTGTACGCGAATGATTTCGAATGCTTCAAGCTTTCTAATAACTGTCTACTTACTCTGTTCACAGAATATCTTAGGTTTAAAAACGACAAACAGAACAGTAATAATAAAATACATTAATCACAATAGACTTGCCAACTGAATTACTTAAGTTGATCCTATAGTTTCTAAATAAGAAAACCAGTGGACGCTCTGTTTACTACAGCAAAAATATATCTAAGCTAAAACATTTGTTTACGTTTAAAGACAACATATATAAAATCAATTTGAATATATGATGAACTATACGCACGGAAAGAGAGACATTTTTTTGCCTGTACACTTGGAATTAAATTTAAGGAGATTTACAATATACTAGTTCACGTTTAGTCATAAAATTTAATCTTTGTCAAATCAACAACATTATATGTAAAGTTGCACAGTAAACAAGTATAAAAATCTGTTTGCTTTCAATTCTTATTTCTTTATTTGCCGTGTCACTTCAGTACGTGGACGAACATGGCTCTCCATAGCAACCTCCCGTGTGTGTCAAATTCTCCAAGCCCACTTTCCTTATTAAATGTTCTAGAAATTTCAACTGTCTCTTTCTGGTTCTAGGAATAAGTGACTTTTTTTGTTTCCATTTTCCTTAAAACTTCCTCAGCGTTCACATGTTCCGTCCATGGTATTCTCGGCATTCCTTTGTGAAACCACTTCCTTTTTGCCCCTATATCACTGAGGAAATTTGAATATGGATTCTATCCACTTTTGACACTTCTCTATCTTTTTTCTATTCACTTGTCTTGATTATATATATATATATATATATAGTGATTTTCCAAGCGTAGCTTAGATGTGGCACAAGGCCGAAAGTATGGGGCGCCCAGTGAGGATCGAACTCACTGCTCAGTCGTAATTGTTCTAGCGAGAGAAGCTTGCTAACCATTACACCGCCGCGGGGTGCCCATATATATATATATATACGTACATGTGTGTGCGTGTGCACGAATGTGTGTGTGTACTATATATCAACCCTGACAACATATATTCCCAAATGGTAGGCTTGGGGCAGCAGCCTGTCACCCTCGAATATTATTTTGATTCCTTACATTGTGAAAATGATGTGAATTAATTTTTTAATTATAATGTGTAAATTTTTACACGCGGACCCCTTGACTTATAGGCCGGCCCCCTGATACAAAACACTCTAGCGACGAGCGGGCCTGACTCTCACCATTTTTAGAAAATTTTTTAAAATATCTATTTGAGAGTGCATTTATAAATCTATATCAATGTTAATGAGCGTGCGTACACGCACACACGAACACATATATATGTATATATGCAGAAAGAGAGAGATATGGGTATGGTAAAAACATACGTATACGCACATATATAGTTGCACGTATATATATATATATATATATATATATATATATATATATATATATATATATATATATATATATATATTCTCAGGTGTTATAAAACAGTGCTCAATGTTAAATAACAGATCTATTAAGTATATATTAGTGAATATCGCACGTAGATAGCACGACTCGGAGTTTCATGCAGTTACGTAATCATTAAGCACTTGGGACATTATGTGTATTGTATTTCATGCTTCAACGCAATCTCTAGGCTTAAAGATTGCGTCCAAGCATGAAACAGCCTCTCACCGATTGGTGTTGACCTCAGTGTCCAATTTTATATTAATATACGCTCTATTCTTGATATTGACCACTTTTACCCATAAATATAATATGCCTTACAATTATATTTTTAATATATGTATGTGTGTGTGTGTGTGTGGTAAAAGTAATAAATGTGTTAGTATATAATCCAAGTGGATCCCAGTAATATAAAATATTAAAACTAATCTACAAAAAGAGCTGAATGTATTTATTATAACAAAGTCAATAAATAGCTCTATTACAACCGTTGAAATAGATCTAGCCCTCATTCGCGGTAATTTTGGATTTGGTTGTGTAATACTATATATATATATATATATATATATATATATATATATAACGCTTACAAATAGATTGGCACAAGTGCCTACGTCTAATAATTCTAACGAAGATTTATCAGGACCGATTATAAAACATACGTAGTTATTACATCAATTCACGGAAATTTATTCATTTCGGCTATAACTTTACACGCAAACAGTTTAGTTTTTTATTAAATATACGCATACGCCCACGCATAAATTCTTTTATATGCCGTGTCCCATCAGGACGCTGGCATATAATAATTCATAATTTCTTGTCCGTTGGTTGTAGCTCTAAAAATAAAATAAATTTTGCCTTTTTGTTATTTCTCCTAAACCTTGTTCCGCCATCACGTTAGCTAGATAGGTTATGTGTTGTTTTCTTCTGTCCCTCTTGCCTTCAATCTGTCCTGTGAGTATAAAATTTTCCAAGTTCCTCTTTTCTTATTATGTGCCATAAAAATTTCAATTGTCTTCCTGATATTAAGTATAAGTGTCTTTTTGGCTTCCATAAATTCATATCTGTACGTTTGTGTGCCTCTTTCCATAGATGAATATTTAAATGTAGACTTCTATGAGAATGGGCTTCTATGCATTTATGTGTTTGTATTTATACTTTATTTTATACAAAGAAATACCTCGACTATACTTGATAATAAATTTTTTAACCTCCTCGTTTGTAAGACCAAAATAAATGACCAATTCTCGCAATTCTAATGAGCTTTCTTCTTTTTCTAACTCTAAACCCCGGGCAAACTACCATGTTGCATTTCACATTAAAAATGCTATGATAAAGATCCAGTCATTCTTATTGATGTTTAATATAAAAAGGTTACATTTATATCTTTATAGAACGGGATAGAAACGATAGGTGATTCAAAACGCGTTGGAATTATCACAAGTTTCCTATCAAGAATAATAGATGCATTCGTTTTGAATAGGCATACAAATACAATTCCTGGAATAAATTTTGTTCCAAAACATAGCAATGTCTTTATCAACTCATAACAGGCGACTTGTAAGCATGCCATACTTAACTGATAAGTTATGTTCTATAATCAATAAAAAATATATATATACCGTATCTACGTGTATAAAGGATTTCATTTTCTAAAAAGGAGCATAGCATGAGGAAAAAGGACCCAAACTTGATGAAAACAGTTTTATCTTTAAAATGTTTATTAAGAGGAAAGACCAAAGTTTTTTTTAGATGATATTATGATTAATATTAAATGAAAACTATATTTACTAATCACAAGTGGAAAAATTTAATACAAGTCATTAAACAAAGATATTTTTTTTAGAAAATTTGATTTTTTATAATGTGCGTAAACATGACCATTTTTGTAAAATAATGTCGCGTATGGTCCGAGCGATCATATACGACATTATCAGAAAATAAGAGCGATGACTATAGTAAATTTAAAGTCAACATTTAAAATTTAATAAAACTTATTAGATTACGGAGAATATTTTCCTAAGTTTTTAAGATTGCTAAGTACTTAAAAATTATATAAAAAGGCGTTTACGTCATTTTCTTAAATTATGTTTTACAGATAAATTCTCCGTAGAACAACATTAAACCTGTCATCACGCTGTCACTATTTCAAAATAGCTACTATCGGGCTAAAAATGCATATCTGCGATATTTTAAACTTAAAGTGAATAATATTTGTTTCAAATCAGATGAACTATACTTTAAATCAGCTAATATTCCTCAAATAAAGTTTCAGAAAAGTAAATTTTATTTTTGGAAGATTTTCTGATAAAGAATGCAAGACAACCAAAAAAGGGAGGTAATCGACAATTTTAGAAAAAATTCCAGTCAATTTAAATTAGTTTTAAATTAGTTTAAGATTCTGCTTATTGGCTATATTAAGTTTAATCTATAAATTTGAAATTAAAACTAAAATAAAAGCTTCAAGAAAGATTTTTCATTTTTAAAAATTTATTTTAAAACTTAGGTATCTTTTTTTTTCTGTTTTTTGTGAAGGTATCTATGTTCATGACTGATACATGAATAAGTATTTTTAACGTGTTTTCGAAAATGTTTATGCTATCCTTGATAATTATTGAGTAGTTAGGGCACATACTGAGAAAAGAGGACTTAGAAAATTTGATACTCACAGGACATACTGAAGGCAATAGTTATAGCTGAAAACAACGCATAACCTACCTGGCGAGCTTGAGTAAATGGATGGAGGAGTAAGTTTTAGGAGAGATAACAAAAGACAACATTCATTAAGAGCTACAATTGACAGGAAATTGTGGAGAGCCATGATCGTTTACGTCCTGAAGGGACACGGCACAACCAACCAACCAACCCACACACGCACACACACACACACACACACACACACACACACACACACACACACACACACAAAAAGAGGATTATTTTAAGAGAGAGAATTCTTTTCCTTCTAATGTATTCTCTATGTCTAGA